AAATCTAATTAGAGTGAAGCCAGGTATGTGTATTATTATTATAACTATGTAAAAACATATGCCTCTGAGAATGAATCCAAAGATTATAATAGCTACGCTGAAGGGCCAGGATAGAGGGGATTTTAAAATTCCCTTTTCCAAATTTTCTTTAAGGTAGTTGCACGATATCCCTACTTTTTAAAAATTACTATTATTTGCTTATTACAATGAGTAGTATGATGCCCTAGTGCACTAAATACTCAATACAACGTTCTCATGGAAGAGTTTTCAAATCGGCTTCCTGGGTTTTATTTGCAATGATGATACAAATGCAAATGAGCAGATAAGACTCTATCTAAACTTCTCAAGAAATTTAGTAGCCTTATTATTGAAAATCCCCATAAATCAGCCACATTTTGAAAAATAAACTTGTTATGAAGACCTCACATGATACCCTACTGTGGTTTGGAATAAGTGTCCACCAGAGTTCTACTTGTTAACAGTGTGGTTGGTCACAGACTATGGTGCCACAGGGAGGTGATGGGACCTTTAGAAGGTGGGATAGTGGAAGGCAGTTTAGTCATTGGGGATGTGCCCTTTGGAGGGGATATTGGAACTCCAGCCCTTCCTCTTCCACTTTTTTGGTTGCTGGCTGCCATTAGGCAAACATTTAGCCATGATGCACTGCCTCAACATAGGCCCCCAAAGCAGCTAGGCCAACTGACAATGATTGGAACCCCCAAAACGGTGAGCCCAAATAAATGTTTCTCCTTTATAAGTTGATTATCTCAGGTACTTTGTTACAATACTGCAAAGCTGACTAACAAAACCCCACAAATATATACAATGAAAAATTCAACATTTTGCTTTAGAAAAGTTTTAGATTTATAGAAAACTTGCAAAGAGTCTCAGTGTTCTCATATATGCCATATTCAGTTTCTTCTGTTATTCACATCTGATATTGATATGCAACCTTTTCCATAACTAATAAACCAATGTTGATACATTATTACTCACTAAAACTCATGCCTTATTCAGATTCCCTAAGTTTGTTCCTAATGCCCTTTATGTGTTCTGGATCCTCTTTAGGATAACACAGAACATTTAGTGTCCTATCTTCTTGGATTCCTCTTGGCTTCTATTGACTTCTATTAAATTCTTGATTCCTGGAGGCCAGGTTTCATCACCATCACCAATGTCTTCTGAAACAGGACCTCAAGTAAATGTCCAATTGAATTGACCCGGTTTCTATTTTAAAATGTCAGCTGTTTGATTGAATGATTGACTACTTACTTCTGAGTAGCATTATCTGCCTCTATATATCTATCCCTCCAATATCACCAACAAGATTTCATTTTGTCCTGATGTTTTATGCAGAGTTTTATTTATTACAACTGTCGGATCTATAATGCATGGTTGACTTCAGGTCAGCCTCTGCCTGGTCTTTTTGATTGAGATGCTACCTGTCTTTGAATAGCAGAAGAGTTGGTTGAGAACCACTATCACTATTAGCTGCACCACCTTGGACTGGTTACAGAAATCCTCTGAGCCTCTCTCATGGGGCATTTGTGAGGGTTACTGAGACCAGGTGTAGGAATCCCTGACATATATAATAATAAGCATTAACTTATTAATTAATAATAAGGGGCTGGGGACTATTCTTTGTGTTGTGTGCACAACATATTCAACCTTTACAATAGACTTATGCAGTTACTACTCTTATCCTTATTTTATAATTTAGAAAACTGAGCACAGGGAAAGTAAAGAGCACATCTAATACTACACATAGAGTGAGAAGCAAGCCTAGGATCTAGACCCAGGACTATCAAACCACACATTATAGGACTGCTTGATCCCACTACTACCTTCTCTGCAAGAGAGCTTTTCCTCAACCTCAAACATTCTTCAGATGATTGACAGAGGGAATGTAAACAAAAGATTGCCCAAAAAGTCAGTCTCCCATTTACTAAGTTCCTCAAAAATTAAACAATTCAGCACATAATGTGTAGTATGTTCAAGGCAAGAGCAGGGAGGGTTCTTGCAAAGTTAATTCAAATATTGAGTTCCTTGTTTCTGACTAAAAAAATCCCTTCAACACATCTTTCTTCGCAGGGAAATTCTAGCTCCTACATGAATAACCAAGTTTCATCATTCACTCCTGTAGGTTACCTGATGAACACTGGACTTTATGGTTCATTGGGACAGAGGTCTGTGGCCTATATCACACAAATTAACACCTCTTCAGAAATGTGATACCTTCCTGTTGCACTAGTGAAATACCCCATATGACACCTTCGAGTTCTAAAAACTGAGCAAATAGCCCCAGGATATAAAATAATTGGGGTAGGCTATGGTGGCCCACACCTGTAATCCCAGGAACCCAGGAGGCTGAGGCAGGAGGATTGAAATTTGGAGGACAGCCTCAGCAACCTAGTGAGGACCTAAGCAACTTAGCAAGACTCTGGTTCAAAATAAAAAAAATAAAATAAAATAAAAAGGGATGAGGATGTAGCTTAGATGTCCCAAAAAATAAAATATTTAGAGATGCTGGGTGCCCCTAGAAAGCTATCCAAACACAAAGAGTAAATTCTAGCATTGCTAACCAAATTCTGGCAATTGTTCATGACCCTATCAACAAAATGTATTATTCAAAAAAACCTTTACTGGCCCTTTTAAGGAGAGTGCAGTACATTACCCTGAACTATAGAAGTGCCCATGGGTAGGAATAATTATTTTGGTAATGCTGTTTGCTGGCACTAGATAGGAGTTGGAAGATGTTTCTGGTTTTGATTTTACTTTAATCGGCCCTGACTTTGGTATAAGCTCCATGGTCCTCCACCGGGGATGATTTTGTCCCCAGGGAATATTCTGGACTCTTAAAACTGAGAAGCATTGCTACTGACATCAAGATGGTAGAGGCCAGAGATGCTGCTAAATATTGACCATTCATAGAGCAGTGCCCACGATAAAAAAAAGTTACCTACTGCAGAATGTCAAAAGTGCAGAAGGGGAAAAACCCTGGCCTATGGTGGAATGTGTCACTGAGTGAAGCTGAAAAATGTTAAAGGTTTTGCTCGAATGCTTCTATATCTAAGCATACAGGACTTGGGGGTTGCACATGTCCTAAGACCTGGGCGGGCAGGAAGAACAATACAAATCAACACTTGTCCCCCTATTTCTGTGCTTCTCGGTGTTTTGCTTTTACATTTTGTCATATCAGCATTATGTTTCTTCTCAGCACAGAGCCAAGGCTCACAGCAAAGGACCCAGCTTAATACCATGCATAGAACACACTATTCCAGGCTCCTCACAATCATACAGCTAAAAGAGGAAGAGGACCACAGGAAGTGATTCCCTATAGTTAGTGCTGGGTCACTGCAATATTTCTAGGCCAGGGAAGGGCCTTCTTCTGATGCCCCATCAACCTGCCCGTTCTGATCACATCCACCATCACAAAATGAAATACCTAAACAACACCAAATGAGAAGCACCCCCAAATCATAATTATGAAATCTGAATCTTGGAAAGTCAGTGGTTTTTAACAAACTTCACCTAAGGTCTCTTGAACTTAAGAATATGATAGTCCCTTTTCATAGCATAAAAAAACTTATTTTTAAATATCACTGAAGCTTTATAGGTATTCAGGACTCCCTCTAAAACTCTTGTCTGTACATTGGTAGTTTACTGGTTCCTTTCTGTCTTCCTTTACCTTTGGCTTCCTTTCCATCCATTTATCCTTTCCAGAAACATTCCCTGGGGCATCTTGCCATCTTTTGCAGAGAATCTGGACAGAAAGTGGGAACATTCCCTTCTCCTGGGAATCCTGAACCTTACAAAGCCATCTTCTTTCCCTTCCTTGTTGTTTGGGTGGGTAGGTGGGTGGGTGACCTTTCCCTCCTCACAGAGTGAGGCCCAACCTGGGGAAACAGGCATCACCCCCAAGACTGTCCCTAAGCCCACCACTCCCAGTGTCCTCCCTAGTGCTCTCTAAAGAAGCTGTACTTCCTGCTCACCTACTCATCTGGGCTTCTATTAGTTTTAATAAAATCAAGAGTTGTCCCATGTTATTCATCAAGTTTGGGGCTCTCTACATTTATATACAAAAGTTGAAGTGGACCAATGGGAAAAGATGACTGACCTCAGTGGCTAGGTTAAATCTGGACTTTTGACATTTTGTGAACTTCTCTGACAACTATCTACCTCTGCAGAGGCCTGGGCACCAACGAAATAGCCCCTGGGTCTGCTGTGGTCAGTATCAGGAAAACAACAAGACCCTGCTCCCGTTCTGTTTTCGTGTCTCCTCAAATCTCAGGAAGCGGTATTTAAGAGAGTGGGGGCAAGTACTGTTCCCCTCCAAAATTTCCTCCTAACAACCAAAGGAAAATGCCACCACTCGTTTCCACCCTGAAAGCGTTCTGCAGGGCTTCATGGTTTCTGCTAATAAAAGCGCAAAACGTAAATGGCTTGGTGATTATTGGCTTTCGCCCTTGGACGGAGAAATGAGATCACGATTTTCATCAAGGGAAGGCAATGCTGCTGCCAGGCTGCTGAGGCTGTCGCTTCCCCTCCCTGCGCGGGCCCCGCATTACATCACCGGTGAGCTCTTGCTGGTGGGGGAGAGGAGGCTCCGACAGGGACCCAGCCCCAGACAGGAGGATAAGCAGAATAAAAAGGAAGGGTGGGAGTAGGCGCGTGTTGAGGAAGAGGGAAAAGGGAAAACAGGTCCGGGTTTCCCACCATCAACCTGGGGGGAGGGGGGTGGTTGGCACTTACAAAACGCAACATCCTTAAACAGCTACACCCCCAAATGCATTCCCGCGCCGCCTCCCAGCCGCCCTCTACTCCCATTTCCAAGTCCAACAAAAACCGGTATCCAAAGCCAGAAGAGCTGCCTTGAGGGGGCTGGAGGGGACCGCAGAGAGGCGCCGGGGGACAGGGAGGGACCCGGGCGCTCGCGCGGGGGCGGAGCGGGGCGGGGTGGGGTGGACTGGAGAGGGAGGCGGTTGCCGTTGCGCCCCCGCCCGGCCCAGCCAGCGGTGCCTCCGACGCCAGGCGACAGCAGTCGGGGGGGGGAGGCAGAAGCGCCTCCTCCCCGCCTGGAGCCGAGGCGGCAACGCAGGGGGAGGAAGGCGACTCACCTTGCCCCCAATGAGGGGCGGATCATGCCATGGCAGCGCCAGCAAACGACAGCGGCGGCAGCGAACAGAGCCCCAGCAGCAGCCCCGGGAGCCGGGCCGGAGCAGGGGGCGCGGCGGCTGGAGGCCGGGACCGCGGGGATAGGAGACCCCGGAACGCCACCGCTACGGCCCCAGGCCTTGCACCTCTCGAAGACTACGAGTGCAAAATCTGCTACAACTACTTCGATGCGGACCGGCGCGCGCCTAAGCTGCTGGCGTGCCTGCACACCTTCTGCCAGGAGTGCCTAAGCCAGCTACAGCTCCGCGCCGCCGCCGCCGCCGCCGCCGCTGCCAGCGCTGCGCCTGAGCGCGCGCAGCGCCCCCCGCCCTGGCACGATCCTCCCGGCGCCATCGCGTGCCCCGTGTGCCGCCACCGCACGCCGCTGCCCGACAGCCGCGTGCAAGCCTTGCCCAATAACACCAAGCTCGCCGAGGCCTTCCCGCTAGCTCTGCGCGCGGCTCACGACCCGCTACCCCAGGACCGACTCCCGCCGCTGCCAACACGCCGCGCAGAGCCTGCAGCACCCCAGCCGCCAGCCCCGGCCCCGCAACCAACGCCACCTGCAGAGGACACCGCCCCCGGACCTCGCGCCCGCCCGGGTCTGCGCGCCCCGGGCGCCTACGACAGCTGCCAGAACTGCAAGCGCGCTGCGCTCACCGCCGGCTGCGTGTGCGTGGTTTTTTCTTTTCTCTCCATGGTGGTGCTGCTCTTCACTGGCCTCATCTTCGTCAACCACTACGGTGGCGGTGGTGGCGGGGGACCCCCCGGAAGCGGAGCGCCCCCTGGGGATGCCCCGGCGACTGGGTCGCCTTCGCCCTCGCCTGTGGGGCCCATCTGTCTGTCGGTGGCCAGCATCTTGGCGCTCTTCTCAGTCGTTGTCACCTGGGTTATCTGCTGGCTCAAGTATCGGCCCGAGGGTGCGGCCGCCAGCTCGGCTGGAAGCGGCGGCGGCGGCCCGAGGACGCGGGCAGCGGCGGCACCCGGCGGCGCACGGAGGAGCGACACGTAGCTGGGCAGCACACTGGTCTCTATGCCTGCACCGCCTGCCTCGCGCAGCCAAAGAGGAGTGGGCCTTTGACTCAGTACACTCGAGCTTCTCCCTCTCCCATGACCTTAGGACGCTCCAGTCGCACCATCCCCCACCCTCAGCCACCTGGCCACCAAGGTTTTCTGCCTCACGGACTTTCTATGCCCCACCTCCTTTGCGCAGGGTCTGAGAGGAAAACTCAAGGGGCGAGGAGGCTGGTGAACCGGCTGGTGGGGCGTTCCTTTTCCCTTTCGTGCACCACCCCATTTCCAGAGTGCGGCGCAGCCGTCCCTTCCCAAAATCTGAGGATTTACAATCAAGAGGAAAGGGGAGAGGTCCCCAGGCAGCCCTCCTGAAAGCTGATTTTCTGGAGGCTGGAACTTGAGAGTTTCTTGAAGGGTGCAGGTGAGCGCAAGTACTAGTCCACAGCGGTTGTGAATGGCCTTGAATTGCCCAAAGGAAGAATAAGAAAAGTTAAAGTGAGAGAAAGGTTTTCTTGCTTCCCGGCGGTCCTAGAAAGGGAGAGATCCTGAGCGCTGAGAGTGACTTACACTCCCCGGGGGCACAGCTAGGGCGTGAACGTGGTGGCTGCTGGACTTAGCAGCTGTCGGCATCTGTGCGTTATTGGGCAGGTGCATAGCACGCGTGCGCGTTCAGAGTAGTTGTCCGACTCCACGGAGATGCGACTGCAGCTTGCAAAAGGCAATGATCCTGCTACCCACCTCCCGGGGTCTGGAGCAGAGCCCAGAAGTCCAATCTTCTGAAAGCTTGCGGTTGTCTTACGGTGTTACTGCCAGGAAGTCATTTCATCTTCTGTAACTGGACTCAGGGAGTTTAAAAAGCCTGATCTCCCTTCTCTCAAAACTGACTGACTGTTGCCCCCACCTGGAAGATATTGAAAGCTATTCACGAAGAATATAAACTACAGGCTTCCCCTTTCCCGTCTTTTTTCTTAATTTCATTTAAAAAATAATTTATTTTTGAATAGATAAATCTGGAAATTTTTGTACATTAAGATTTCCAGAAAAGTTGTTATAAGTGGTGACATTTCTCTCATACCTCTGATTCAAACACATTTTGAAATTAAGAGCAGAAAATAAAGGCTTGTTGGTAATTGATTCAAGTTTTTATACTGTGAAACAACATTAAGTGACTTCCAACTGTCTGATAAAATATAAAATAGTGCCCAAAGATGAAGTTAACTGATAGTCTTTCTTTGACTACCAAGACATACATATATATAAGTACATACAAACATACATACATTATACATTTATCAGAAAAGATATTATTTTGAATTTAGCTGTTTGCTGTTGTTGGAATCAGTGAAATATTCACATCTGGACACATGAGATGACAAAGAATACATATTTGATTTTGTAACTAAGAAGATGAAATTATGAGTGTATGTTGCAGGTGGGTTAGATCCCTTTTTAAGGGGATAAAAGGTTTCAAATGTATTTTATATGAAAACATTCCCTGTTCCACATTTTGGAATTTGGAATAAGAAAGTTTTCATGTTTAAAAGTCACAGAAGAGACTGAGGGTGCTGTTATCACTCGTGTATTTATGCAAGCTGCTTGCATGATATCTTGTACTATGCTATTAACTGTACTTGAATGGATCATTTGTATCTATCATATGAGTGAAGTAATTTATTGGCCATCAATAAGTGGTCTGGCTGCATTTTAGGAACTACAATATGGTGTGTTATATGTCTACATTGTCTTAATAAAAACAAGAAGTATTTATAGTATTTGTGACACTTATTTCATGGTGAAATTGCTTCAATTTTTGGTGTGGCCTTTTTCTTAAATACTTGTCCCTACCTAAATCCCACTTTCACATTTTGAATGGGGCTAAGAGAGAAATACTAAGATGATCATTTTGCAGAACTATCTCTGGGACTTAATAAGAGTCCTTGAAGGTCCAGTAAAATCTGTTGTAGGGGTGGCACATGCCTGTGATCCTAGCAGCTTGGGAGGCTGAAGCAGGAGGATCAAGCCAGCCTCAGCAAAAATTAGGCACTAAGCAATTCCATGAGACCCTGTCTCTAAATAAATACAAAATAGGGCTGGGGATGTGACTCAGTGCTCCTGAGTTCAATCCCCAGTAGCCCCCACCCCCCAAAAAAAGGTCCATTGTAGGATTTAGAAGGGAGAAGTGCCCTGCCCGCCTACAATTATAACATTTGCTAAAACTAAATTCTGTTGTCATCCTTTGTTCTTGTTTTCTGTGAAATGTTTTCAGATTCCAAATACTAAGGGTCAAATTTCAGAGATTAGTTTTAATTTATACCCACATTTTTTTTTTTACCTTTTAGTCATCCTTTGTTTTCTTCCATTGTTAAGATTCTGTTTGCAGTCACTTTAGTTGCACAAATGCAGGAATGCATCTACACAAAATACATCATGTATGCACATATCTTGGATATGAATGTATGTAGTGCATATTATACATATATATATATACATACATATGCATAGTAGTAACAGAACGTGGCTTTGTTGATGTAACCATGCATCCATATGTTTGTTATTTCACTCTCTTAAGCTAGCAACCCAGAAGTCTGTCTAAAGTTACTTGGGGAACAGCTTGCTTCTTCTAGAGTTTATTTATGTCCCACAGAAGTACATCAATGATGCAACTTAAATTATTCCTCATAAATGAGAACTACATCTTTGAATTGCCTCGGTCACAATAAAAGCCACATTTTGCTTCTTTCGTGGGCTGCCCATGTGGATTTCTTGTAATGAGAAATTTGAATTAGAATACTTTGAAATCAAATCAATGCATTTAGTAGCTCAGTACTTAAAGATATTTTTCCCTTGGCTAACTTTACTGTATTGCTAATGTCTGACATTGTTACCAAAAATTGAGTGACAAGATGGCTGATGAAAATATTTGCCTGGTTTTCAGTCGTTCTCTAGCATTCAGGTGTCCCTCCTCACTTCCTATTTGGCAGGTTCGATTTACTCATTCTTACTTCATGTGGCAATGTGGGCACACCAGCATCTTGGAGTTTGGAAATTATTGAAATAATGAGTGAGTTGTCTGGATGGCTCCTGGTGATAATGGGATGCCTGCACATCTGCTCAGGACTCAGGTTCCCAGGTCCTCATGGTTCTGGTTGTGCCTGCATTCTGGGGCAGCAGGTTAGAGTTATCTTGATGCTTCCATAGAATCTAAATTTCAAGTGAAAGAAATTCATCATGCAGACAATGGATTAAAAACTTGGCCTCTGAATACAATGTGATTCCACCTTCAGAAAGCACTTTAGGCTTGGGGGGTCAAAAAAAAAAAAAACAGTGTCTGCAGTCAGGAGATGTGTCTGATATTCTGATATTGGATCTCCCCTTACTTGGAAAGACCTTAAGAAGTCAATCAACCTGTTTGAACCTCAAGTTCTTCGTCTATAAATGAGGATGAGAAAAATTATCAACCTTCTCTACCTTAAGAGGTTGGTTGAGGATTTGTACCCTTAAGAGAGGAGATGGCTAAAAATGCTTTGGAAACTAATACCCTGTATGCATCTCCTTTTCATTCTGGTCTCCAAGGATGTAATATCACCTCAGAGGAGTCTGCCCTTACCACTCTATTCCCTGGGATTATTGGTTCCCGTTTTACTTCCTTCCTAACCCTTGTAACTCTCTGCAGTGATGTTATTTATTTGTTGCTTTTTTTTTTCAGCCTCCTAAAACAGAACAGGAAACTTGTCTCTTTGTTCCTCTACTCTATCCATTAAGCCTTAATGAGTTCTCAGCACATAATAAGAGGGCTATTATAGTCTGCTGAAGGAAAACTCTGGAATGAATGTTGGGTTCCCCAGACTCACTCTGCCACTCAGTAACTAATGAGTCCCTGAAGGTCTTAGGTCAAAAATTGCTTTCCCTATTTCATAATGATTTTGGAAAGTTGAAAATATATACTTATGTAAAGCACTTTGAATTTTGAAAAAAATCAGCACTGCAAAAAGTAGAAGAACTCTATTGCATTGCATTCAGGGACAGGAACCACTAGAGAGACTAAGAAACATTTGGCTTCTGTTTCCAATCATTTCTGCATTGTGACATTTAGGGTACATTTATGTACTGCCCCTCCAAAGTGAGCAGCCTTTACATAGTTGGGACAAGCATACGTTGCTGTTGAATTTTCCATAACATTGAGAGAAAGTTCTATTAAATTTATTATCATTTATGGCTCCCTGTTTTATTAAGTCTTCAACCTTTGTCATATTAAAGATTCTTCATATTCGTGTTAATTTTATTGATCTAAAATGAATGTTCCTATTCCTCTGTGATCCAACTGGTACCCTCTATAATCATTTAATTCCCATTAGCTCATATCTAAATTTTACCTTTTTTTTTTAGATGCTGATGGACCTTTATTTTTTTCATTTATTTATATGGGTGCTGAGAAATCAACCCATTGCCCCACACATGCTAAGCGAGTGCTTTACCACTGAGCTACAACTCCAGCCCTACATTTCTTCTTTTATACAAAAAATGATTAAATTTATGCCATGGACAACGAACTGCATCCTTGCTAAGTATACATTTGCATCTATTCATTTGAACTCATATTTTTATTATATGTTAAATTGTGAGTGTGTTAGAGGAATAGCTAATATTTACTAAAGTAACTATTTTTTTGTGTGTGTGGGAGGGAGATATCTGGGATTGAACTCAGGGGCACTCTACCACTGAGCCACACCCCCAGCCCTATTTTGTATTTTATTTAGCGACAGGTTCTTAATGAGTTGCTTAGCACCTCACCTTTTGCTGAGACTGGATTTGAACTTGTGATCCTCCTGCCTCAGCCTCCCCAGCTGCTGGGATTACAGGCGTGTGCCACTGAGACCTGTTAAAGGAATTATTTCTAAGATCTGTGTTAGAAATGACTGCAGCCAGATCTTGGATTGAAGTCATGTGGATGAATTTATTATAAGAGAGATTTTATTCACCAGGTATGTTGACAGGTGCCTGTAATCCCAGCTACTCAGGAGGCACAAGAAAAGGGAGGATCACAAGTTTAAGCCCAGCCTAGGCAATTTAGTGAGAACCTGTCTCAAAAAAGAAAAAAATAAATAAAAAGTGAGAAGGGCCAGGAAATGTAGAATGTCCTTGGGTTCAACCCCAAGTACCATCAAAAAACAAAAATAAACAAACAAAAACAGAAGAGAGAGATTTTATATTAGATCTCTTTTGACCATATATATATATATATATATATATATATATATGTGTGTGTGTGTGTGTGTGTGTGTGTGTGTGTTTGTGCAATATATATATATATATATATATATATATATATATATATTTAATTGCCTTTGTTTTCTTCCATCAGTGTTGATTCTGAGGAAGTGTTCAGACCTAAAATATGCCAAAGAGAAGCAATTTTGTTTCTTTGATAAATTCAAGATTATTTCTCATTATAAAATATGTTTGGGGAAGTGTTCAAAGTTCCATCTCCAAGCATATTCCTAGGAGCTGGGGAAGAATGTGCATACTTCCTTCAGAAAAACAGTTGTCTTTGCATGTAAAATTGGATTATCTCTGGTTTAGCAGTGCCCTTCTCCATGGGGTTGAGTGGGGGGTGTTGAAGTGAGAAGAAAGAGGGTAAAAAAGTCTCCTTCGTTCCTAATATTACAAAACACACCACAACATAAACAGAAAAGAAAGTGTTTAATCACTGCAAAAATTAAAACATTTTTATTTCAACAGTTATAATTTTGGGAACCATGGAATATATTGTCCTCTCACCTATCTCTTCCAGCAGCAACAATGAGTATTTCTCATCATATGTAAATAACAGATTATGTTTCTGTTGTGTATGCATTTAGAAATGTTTTGCAGTCAAATTTGAAAGGTAGAGTTCCATTTGACCCATAGTTTGGGGGAAGGATTAACTCCCAATGAGAATTAGATATTTTTTGCCTGGGGAAAATCCGTTGTTGGGGGTGCAACTCTGCAAGAGGAATGATTTGTCTCCAGAAGCCCATTATTTATTTATTTTATTAAATTCACATACAGCCAATTTATTTCCTGATGTGAGTTTTAGCAAAGGTTCCCAAACCAGGTCGCAGATTAGAGTTATCTGAAGGGCTGTAAAATAATCATCATCATCATCATCATCATCATCATCATCATCATCATCGATAAGAAAGCACGGTCCGGCCCACAGAGACTACTTTGGTCCAGGCAGGGGAGAAGGAGGTGCATCAATATTTTTTAAAAGGCGCCGCAGGTGATTCTTCCGAGCAACTAAATTTGAGAGTCATTATATTTCACAACCTTTTTATTGAATCGCGACAGTCTCCCTAATCTCACTTTAATGAACTAAATGCCGCCAAGTTGTGTTTTCTTAGAAATTCATTTGGAGAGCATGGGGCCTTGCTCGGATTTCGGAAGTGGCCATAATTTGGATAACTGAAGGAGGGCTATTTAATCGTTGCTTTAATCTCTCTCTCTTACACACACACACAAACACACACACACACACGCACACGCACACGCACACGCACAGTTCTGTCGCCTTTGCAGTCCCAGGCAAGTCAGGTGTATGTTTGCATCCCCATTCCGTGTGCTGTGGTTTTTCTAAGGTGGGCTCAATGATGGCTTGTGCCATATTCCATCAGTAGCCTTATGATCCTACTATGTGCTGGGCACTCTTACTTTAGGCTTTTCTGTGAGCCCCCGCAAAACAGGTGAGTTTCTTCCAAGACCGGTGACAGTCATCTAAATGCCAGGAGCACGAGTTCCAGCACTCACTCGGGAGGCTGAGGATGATCACTTGAGCCCTAGAGTTGGGAACCAGCCTGGGCGACAGAGCAAACCCTCGTCGCAAAAACAAAACAAAAAAGAAAGAAAAAAAGACAAAAGAAAAGAAAAAGAAAGTAAATAAGCAATAAATAAATATAGTGAAAAGGTGGAAACTTAGAGATGGATTTTGTGAAAACCAATGAACAAAACATCACCA